AAAGAGGGCTAGTTTAACACCATTCGACGGGATAGGGATGTCGTTGGTGAATAGTATGTATAGGAGGGGAGCAAGCACAGAGCCTTGAGGGACACCGGCTTTTATTTGACAGGTAGAGGATAGCGTGCCTTCGTGTCTAAAACGAAAGGTACGATCCTTCAGATAGGAGGCTACAAGGCGAACGAGAGGGTCCGGGAGGCCTAAGTCGTACAGTTTGTAGATAAGGCCCTCGTGCCAGACTCTTTCGAATGTCTTGGCAATGTCAAAGAAGACCGCGATGGTTTTTTGACGGCGAGAGTAAAAACCGCTGGGGATGTATTCCACTATGCGGTGAACTTGTTGGGGGCACGAGTGTTTGGCTCGAAACCCGAATTTTTGTGGGTTGACAAGAGGGTCGCCGTCTGTGGGAAACAAATGGCGCCTCAAGCGCACAAGAATGACTCTTTCGAAAAGTTTGCCCATGGCCTTGAGGAGGCTGATGGGACGGTGATTGGAGGGGAGGTGGTGAGGTTTGCCTGGCTTGGGAATGCCAATGATAGTTGCCTCTTTCCAAAAGGTGGGAAAGTAACTGAATTCGAAGCAGGCGTTAAAGATAATGGCCAGTAAGGCGATTACCTGCTCCGGGAAGTGTTTGAGGGCTTGGTTGGAGATGCCATCCGCACCCGGTGCTTTTTTGGGCTTAAGTCCTTTGATGGTAGATGAAATCTCATCTTTGGACACAGTGGTAGGGTCAGAGGCGGTAGGGGGCGAGTTCCTGCGTCGGACCTTGTCCTCCACTAGTTGGATGTGTAAGGGGTCAGTGGGTTGTGAGCTAGGAGAGCATTGAGCGGCGACGCTGTCTGGTGACCATATATTCATGCGGCAGATTACTAAAAAAATTCATAAAAATGCGGAGGGGTTCCGGCACTTAAACCATTTAGGGGGAGGTTACTACCCTTCCCCCCCTCTACCCGCCCACTCACGAGTACATAATTATTCGATACAAACTATGCCAAGAAGCAACATAAATTTATAGTGTTTTGCTGAACATATACTTTTACTTAGAATGTCAGCCGGCATATAAGCTGCTGGCAAATACAGTAGTTTAACAATTTTATTTTTTACTAAAACACGACAAAAATGATATTTGATATCAATATGCTATGTACGTTTGTGAAAGACTGGGTTTACACACAGGTTCTGCGCACCCTGGTTATCATTGAATAGACTGATTGTGTACAACTTATTAGTTAATTCATATTGTAATTCCTTTAAATACAATGCTTCTCTTCATGCCACAGATAGACCAATATACTCTAATTCAGTGCTAGAGAGGGCTACATGTTTCTATTTTCTACATTCCTATGATATTACACCATCAGATAACAAAAACACATTCCAGAATATGATCTCCTATCTATAGAGTTAGAGGCCCAATCAGCATCTACATAGCCTGTTATTTCTTAATTACCTTCTTTACAATATTTTATTCCATAACATTTAGTTCGTTTTAGATATTTTAATACCCTTTTTGCATATTCCCAATGCTCTTTTGTGTGGCAATTATTAAATTTACTATGAAAACTTATAGAAGTAACCAATGTCTGGCCTAGTTAAGACTAACAGAAACATCAAACTACCAATTAGTTTTTGATAGGGCACATGATTATTTATATCTACTTGACCTTTTTTATATTTAGTTTGACCTCCATCGGAGTATCAACAGTCTTACAATCACTTAAATGAAATTTGCTTAAAAGTTGATCAATATAAATTTCTTTACTCAGAGCAACATATCCTAAATCTTTATTGAATGTCACATTCATTCCAAGACATTGTTTAACTTCACCTAAGTCCTTAATGCTAAACTTATTAGATAGCACCTTTTTCAAGTTCTTAGTTGCAATTTTATCATTGGAAAATATATAGAAATCGTCGACATAGACTGTTAAAATGGTCTTACTTTTGTTAATATCCTTTATGTACATACATGGCCCAACTTTTGACCTTTTGTAACCATTGCTGATCAAACAATTATCCACCTTTTTTATTCCATGCTCTAGAGGCCTGCTTAAGTCCATAAATAGAATTTTTCAGTTTCAATACTTTACACTATTATAACAATCTGGCATCTTCAAGAATGAATGAAAAATGGAAGATCAAGAACGCAGTCTTTATTTACATCTAAATGGTTAACATCTAAACCTAACTTTACACACAATGCAAATAATAGTCTTAGAGTTGTGTGTCTCACTACAGGCGAAAATGTTTCTGTATAGTCTACACCATATTTTTAGGTCACTTTTTGAGTCATTTTTTGAGTCACAAAGGGCTTCACCCAAAAATATGGTGTAGACTATAGAAACAGAAACAGAAACTTTTTTATTCAATGTAGACTGTCACAATACTTATTGCGAGTCACTTTTTTAATTTACCACTGGTTCGTAAAAAAATCTCTATTCTGGGAAGAACCAGCAAGCAACCCAGCGGGACTATTTTTTTTTTCAATAATAGCTTACAATCATGTTTACAATTAACAACACAAGACATATTAGAAATAGCTTGGTAGCTATTTCTAATTAGTCTTGTGTAACCCTTCCCAGTGGTTATTATCATCCATAAATTCCTTAATATTATAATAACCCTTTTTATACAAACTTAGTTTAATAAAATTTTTGAACTTTGTGTATGACAAATTTTGTATATTTTCTGGGATTTTGTTGTAAAAGCGGATACATCGCCCCAAGAATGAATTACTGACTTGGTGGAGTCGAGTAACTGGTACTTCTAGCTTGTGTCTGCTCCTAGTATTTACAGAATGAATATCACTTATTTTTAACTTAACTACTTTTATTTTTGTGTACGTACATTACATTTTCATAAATGTATTGAGAGGCCAGAGTTAATATATTGATTTCCTATATAGGAGATCATATTCTGGAGTGTGTTTTTTGTTATCTGATGGTGTAATATCATGGGAATGTGGAAAACAGAAACATGTAGCCCTCTTTAGCACTGAATCAGAGTATATTGGCCTATCTGAGGCATGTAGAGAAGCATTGTATTTAAAGGAATTACAATATGAAATGACTAATAAGATGTACCTACACAATCAGTCTATTCAATGATAACCAGGGTGCACAGAACCTGTGTGTAAACCCAGTCTTTCACAAACGTACAAAGCATATTGATATCAAATATCATTTTTGTCGTGATCTAGTAAAAAATAAAATTGTTAAAGTACTGTATTTGTCAGCAGCTGATATGCCGGCTGACATTCTAACTCAAAGTTTATGTTCAGCAAAACATTTTAAATTTATGTTGCTTCTTGGCACAGTTTGTATCGAATAATTTTGTATAAAAATTGTTTGGTGAATATTGCGAAAAGTGGGGGTGTTATTCTTTGTCAATTTTGTATCGAGAATGTCACACATTGCAAACTAGTAGCGCCCTCTAGTATAGAATATGTTATACTGTATGTTTTAGAAAATAAAGTAAGTTCTTGTTGGTAACCCACGCGTTTAATTTATGAGATTTACCACTTGTTTCACTTAAAAAAGGTTCTAAACTACTTAGAGACTAGTTTTAATTTTTACCAAAACTATAATCATTATCAAAATAACATTATTTCATTTGTTGTTCATTCTTCTTCTTAATACGTCTGTAAAAGTATAGAAAGTCATACAAGTGCGTCCACCAATCCGCACCGTACGGATCGCATAGATCTGCTTGTCGGCAATGCCGACGCTCATGCTCCGAGGGACAACTTTTGCGATGTGTACCGATGACGTCATACGAAATGTCGATCAGTGGACGCCAAGCCGTCGCCGCGCCGGTGGCCCGTCATTTGCATTTGATGATCGTCGCATCCACATGCGTTGTTGCATCATGGACGCCGCACAACTAATTGCAGTTGCAAGAGTATGAAAAGTTATATAATTTACGACACCTTTTTTATTCTAACCAACCATCTAACGAAGATTAAATAAAAGCGGTAAGTTCGTAGATTATGTTTATTTTGCTTATTATACATTTTCGTGCCTTCCACTCCGAACTCTTCTTAATTGCCATTCAACCAACCCTACTTCTGAGTTGAAGTAATTTTTGAAGTTATCCCTGATTGTTAAATCATCTGTGCATGAATTACCACCTATGTTTCGTAGGTTTTGTAGCCCTGACATTTCCGCAAGAGAAATGTTTAAATAATTTTCTGTCCAGTAGCATGTGCCATCTCTTAGAAAGTTGTGCAAACAGCATGTAGCCATTACAACAGTCACAATAGATTCTTCATGCATAGACAATCTTCGTTCAAAAATTCTAAATTTTCTTGCCAATATCCCAAACGTATTTTCTACAGAATTTCTCGCACCACTGAGCCTGTAGTTAAATACTTTTTTTTCTTCATATCTTTGGACATCGTCGCGTGAATATGGTCGCATTAAATACGTGCATAATGGAAATGCTTCATCACCGACGATGACGTGAGGTAAGAGGTAAAGTTCAGTGCCTCCTGGTGGGATCTTATGTGGAGGTATGTTTAAAGTGCCGTCCTGTTAACCTTTGCCTAAACTCGAATTTCTCAAAACACTAGCTTCAGAGTTCTTACCAAAAGCACCGACATCTCCTACTATGAATTTATAATTTGCGTCGATTAAGGCTAACAATACTAAACTAAAGTGTTTTTTTATAGCAAATGTAATTTGAGCCACTGTGTGTAGGTGCCTGAATGGGCACGTGTTTTCCATCAATAACAGCGATCACGTTGGGATAATTCGATTTTTTATGAAAACCTTTTTCTGATTTAATCCACAACTCTTCAGTAGGTTTTGGCATTACTTTGGGCTGTAGGTGTTGAATAATGGCTTGGCAGGTGGAATACACAATTCTTGGCACTGTTCGTTCACCAATCCTGAAGTAAAACGACAGTGATTGAAAAGAGTTTCCAGTGGCTAAGAACCTGAAAGAAAAACATATATTTAGGTATTTATTTATTGTTACAGGTAGGTAGGAAGGCTTTAAATTTGCGCGAGACAAAAAGCGGCCAAGCAGCATCAAAGATAAAAGCTCCTAAATTCTCACAAGAACTTTCTTTTCTAATACCGTATCTAAACGATGAGGAAGAACGGCGTTCAAACCTATCACCTAGAAGTGCCTACAATAACGAAGAAACACTACTTGAGTCACTGAATGAATTAGGTTATCCAGATAACAATGTATCAAGCGATGTACAAAGTGAACAATCCATGCAATCCTTGGGATCTTCACGAATTATCCGTAAGAAATCGAGCTTCGCAACTTCACAAGATTACTTAACAAGGACGGCCGAAACCAGAAACCAGAGCGATCCTCTTCTCGATTTTTTCATAAATATGGCAAAAACAGTAAAGACTTTTCCTTTACAAGACCAAGTTAACATTAAAGCTCAATTATTTAAAATGGTTAACAACGTAGAGATGAGGCTTGCGACTACTCCAATAGATCGTGTTTCTGACCCTTCGACACCTGGTTCTAACGTGAGAATAGTTTCAAATGTAATGCTTAGTCCAGCACCGACTGGTTCGAATTAAATGTTTCCTCAATCGGCTTCTTCAAATACAACGATGTTTACTGGACCTGCTATGAACGAAACTTTTCACATTCTACCTCTGGAACCTTCGACAGTGTATTCTCGATCATCTACACCCAACGAAAGACCAATGATGTCTCCACCTGACACTAGCCAATCCATTTTAGAAGATAAAAATAATGTGACACTCGGCCAATATTTACGTCTTAAATAAGTGCCTACCTAACTACCTATATATAACCGATGTTTAATTTTAATTAATAATTACCTTACACACAGCAAGCCTTTCTTCTGGTCGTATAGCCTCCCTGTATGCTGTATTCTGTCTTAATAAATGTGATTTCAGGATGTCAACAAGAGTATTAAATTTAACTTGAGTCATGCGAAAATATTGGAAGAATTTGGCATCATCATTTAGCAAATCAGGAAACCATGTGCGATATTCTCCATGTTGCGATCTTTTCTTGAAAATATCGTGTAGACCACCAGATATTACGTTTTCTTTTTCTAGAGTTCTTAGCTTTTTCTTTCTCTTCTTCAACTAACAAACAAGCAATTACGATAGTTTCTTCTTCGTTTTCTTCTATTATCTCACAAATAACACGTCAACACGTACCACTCGCCACTAAAATCCGTATGAAAATGACGTCGGCAATCCGATTACTAGAGGTTGCCTCAGAAAATACGATCGGTGCCGATACAGTGGATGCATAGTACAAAACTGGTCCATTTGATGCGATGCGTGCGATGCGTGCGATACCGATAGGTGGACGCTTACGTTTAAAGTACAATTATTCTGAAATTTTCCTCTAACTTCGTAGCGGGGATTTACCTTACTCGTAACGCTTGGCACGCGGATGGACGATCGCACGTACAAAGTTCGACTTCTGGTACAGAAGTCGCACTTTGTACATCGTGTACTGTCGCTGCTCTGCGTATTATTAACCAGGTGTAAATAGATGGTTATACTGTCACATGGATGCCATCTTTTTTGTATTTCTCATTGTCTTGTCTTACAACACCCATAGGACAAAATGGAGTGCTAGATTTTCTTACACCGCCACCACATGGTCGTTAGCTACACTTGGCAATTATTTTAGGCACATTTATTTAGTATAGTTAGACTATTCTAGAACTAGAAATACTATAATAGACTTCTTGGTTAGACTACTGTTATTCTATATTGAACTGACAATTTATGAGATTTTTATTCTACTATTTGCTGCCGAACATATTTCATATCATTGACACAACTCTAACGAGTATTTTATTTAGTTTTTTTCTTACATCACCTATTCGGTATATTCATAACGAAATTATGAAAGTACTTTTAATATTACTTTACGATAAAACTTTGGTACTCGCGTAATGTTTAAACGTCGAAATCTAAATATAAGTAATGCTGAGGACACGTAAATTTTGAAAGTTGATGTCTTTCAAATTTGGAATTCATAGCAATGTACTTAAATAAGAATAAAACAGAGAATTTAAAAATTATAAAACTAGAACTTATAAAACAGAGAATTACTTAAAATTATAATTGGTCTCGCCTGCGCTTTCCGATCGAAGGGAATTTATATTTATATTTTATTTATGAGATTCAGAAAAATAATGCTTTTTTGTGTAAATAATATATTTCAATATTAATTAATATGTGATAATATATTTATAAGTTCGTTTGCCGAAATAGCGATATATTGTTTATGGCCGAATACATCAAGAATATATTGTATTTTGAAACAGTAAGGCCAGTAGAACTTTAAAGAGTCCTGCTGACATACATTATTTTTGTAAGGATAATGAATTAATTTATGAAAACTATTACTCTGACTTCGAATCTTTAAATCTCGGTTGTGTCTACAAACACTGCAGAATATTAAATGAGAAATACAACAACGTCAAAATAACGAAATTAATGTTCATTACACTTTGTCTGATCCCAAGAAAACAACCAATGCCGCGTTTTTATTGGGACGCTTTAGCCTTTTATATTTGTTTTTGTCACCAAAAGAAGCCTTGACACCGTTACCTGTAAACGGTTATAATTATAGATCATTTCAAGATGCAGCGCCTGGTGATTAATTGTACACAATATTAATATTTTATTGCTTCAAAGCGATAAACAAAGCTCGAGAACTAGATTTTTTTTTAATTTTCAAGATCTTAATTATACGAAATTATAGACTTTTGAGTGCTGTAGATATATTTTTACTTTTTTTTTTAATTTTTCAATGAATACTAACGCTCCTATACATTCACAACCGTTCATTACAAATATACATGAGAATAGTTTGTTACACACAAATATAATAGAGGCCACAGTAATAACTGATTAACAGCAATAATAGCACAGCTTACTTGTTTAATATTTAAATCACTCACAGTACTTGCTTTTTGCTTTTACACCTCAAGCGCAGATCAGAGAATGAACTCAAGAAATAAAACAAATATGGTAGGTAATAGTGCGTTAAATCATTAATTGAGATTTCATTTGAAGACCGAAGCACGTGCGGCGACATACACATGCAACGATGTCATAGTAAATGTATTTCGGCTTCACAGCCTACCGTAGAAATTCATGACTCTTCTAGTAATATCCCTAATGACACAAAATTTTCACTTTTTTGGGAACAATTGTACAATATTCGTAGAAACGTACCAGTAGTTAAAAGAATTCTTAGAGGTGCGAAGATGCAACTTGCTAAAGCATTGTCATGCACTTTGCAAAATTGTCTTAAGAATTGTGAAAAGAGTTGGCAAAAATATTTATATTCGCGTATTCCCATTTTCATTTTAATAAAACAAAAAAATAAATCAATTACGGTTCAACTAAAAAAGAATTTTTTTCAATATTTAAATTACCTTCATAAATTTGATTTAAAAAAAGTAGTTAAATCGAAAGTAATGGATGGCGACTTAAAAAAATGCATCCCGTATTCTATTCTCAGACGACATCCTCGCTCTTCGTAATGTCTAAACTCTTGAAGGCCTTCGTCAGAAACATCCTTCGGTCAATCCTTCTCATAATTTACCGCTACCTCCCAATACTTCTATGCAACCTTCACAAATTTCTGAAAAAGAGACTTTAATGATTTCTTAAATTTACGCGAACACTACGCATTGAATAAAACTATTATTTACGGATTTTATCGCGTTTAATTACTTTAATTTATTTTTATTATTATCCCGACATTTCGGGTGCTTTACGGCGCCCATGTTCACGGGGGGGGACTGAGATGTTTGACGTCCCAATGTCATAGTTAGTCCGGCTACCTTCAGTTTTTTAATATTAATTTTTGGTCCGATTTACGCAAAACGAGCTTATAGTATCATGAAGTCTTGCAGTGGTATGCTTGGGTTTGGGTTTAATTTTGTTAATTATAGGATCCCAAGCAGATAGTAGCACCCAACCATCTTCTCTATTGAAATTTGGATGTTTTTTAATTTCAATAGCCTCGCGTATGATCCTTGGTAGGAATCGGTGTTCTTTTGCGAGAATTTGTGGTTTATCAAATCTAATGTAATGGTGGGGACGATCTTGAACATGTTCGCAGACTGCAGACTTCCCGGAGCGTCGGTGCTTCACATCAGCTATATGTTCCTTCACGCGGGTTTTTATAGATCTCTTTGTTTGACCTATGTAAGAGAGACCACATTCAGAATCTAGCTTGTACACACCTGCATCTTGTAGAGGAATATTACATTTGATGGATGGTAAAAATTGACTAATCTTCTTCAGCGGCTTGTAGTATGTCTTAATGGACGCTCGCTTCAAGATGTAGCCAATCTTGCCCGTGACTCCTCTAACATATGGTAGTAGAGCAGGCGCGCGCTCGACTGTGGCTGGCTTCACTCGTTCACTGTGACGTAGGCGCGGGACCCGAAGCTTGTTGTCTTGCAATACTTGCTTGACGTGCTGAAGCTCCCCGGCCAGATGTTTTCTGTCACAGATCCCTCGTGCTCTCTGAAACAAAGATTTACCCACGGTAGCTAACTGTGAAGGATGATGGTGAGATTCACCATTTAAATATCGGTTGGTATGGGTCTTTTTCCTATACACAGTGTGACCAATAGTGTTATCAGGATTTCGGATGACTAAAACATCTAGGAAAGCTAAAGAATTATTTGCCTCTAACTCCATTGTGAATTGTATTTTAGAGTTTATGGAGTTAAGGTGGTCTAAAAATGCAGTTACTTTGTCAGATGGTAAAATTGTGAAAGTGTCGTCTACGTACCGCTTGTAGAACCTTGGATTTACAGGAGCAGTAAGAAGGGCTTTCTCCTCAAAGTCTTCCATGAATATGTCGGCGACTATGGGAGACACAGGTGAGCCCATCGCCACACCATCTACTTGCTTGTAGAACTCCTCCTTCCACAATAGATAGCCAGATGTGAGGCAATGTTCGAGTAGTATTGCATATTCTTGAGGCATGTTATTTTCTTCTAGCTTCCTAGTTACAATTGAGATGCAGTCCACAATAGGTAGGCATGTAAATAGTGACTGAACATCAAAACTGACCATAGTTTCATTGTTAGCGAGATGTAGGTCTTTTATCTCACTCACAAAATGGTATGAATCCTTTGTGTGTGCTCTGGTATGTCCTCTCAGTGGTGATAGTATTTTTGCTAAGTATTGTGCAAGCTTATAAGTTGGTGAATCGATCTGGCTCACTATGGGACGTAGTGGAGCGTTTGGTTTGTGTATCTTCGGTAACCCATACAACCTCGGTGGTTTGGCACATGATGGTATTAGCGAATTCACGTGGAGATTTAATTTTTCGGAGTATTTCTTTATTAAATCGCTAGTTGTTTTAAGCGTGTTAGTTGTAGGGTCTGTTTTGACCTTTTTATATGTACTTTCGTCCGATAAAAGTTGTTGTATTTTAAAATTATATTCCGACGCGTCCATTACTACCGTAGCATTTCCTTTATCCGCGCGGAGAATCGTGAGTTCTGGTCTGTTCCGTAAGTTATTTAGCGCTGTAAATTCGTCTTTGGGAA